TAAACAAATTATAAAAAAGACTCTTTGTTTATTAAAAGACTTTGTTAAATGGATTTATTTGATAATAAATAGAGACGACTTTAACTAGCCCAAATATATAATTATAGTTGGAAATCATTTTGTTTATGTTTAGGTACAACAATTCCTGCTTGTAGTTTCTGTTTAAGGGTTTTTTTTTTTTTTTTCATGAACCAATTTTTAGTTAGTTTAAAAAGAAAGGAATATAACATTCCTATTTTTAGAAGAATAACCATATAAAGATCGAAAATCTAGTGAAGAGGTTGAGGAAATGTTTCCAATGCTGAAAAAACTTTCAAACCGAATATCATTTTTAGTAAGCTTTAAATTTGATATACTAATAATAATATCAAAATCAATAACTAGAATTTCTTGTGAAAGTGAAGATCTTAAAATTCTTTTGAGTAATTTCACAATAAATAGTAACAGATTTGCTGATAAAATTTATAAAAAAAAAAAAGCATTTTCATTGAAGGTTGAAAAATGTTTTTCGTCTTTTTCAAAGAGAATGGGATAGGACAATGTAGCTGGTTATGGTCTAGGCTGTATACACTATCGAAGAAAACAATAATTTTAATGAGATATAAGTGTTTATGAGTGAAAATCTAACCGAGACTAAGTGTAGAACATTTACCACCCACAGCCCAATCTAACCAAAACCCTCCAAGCCGTGCCCAAGATCGAGACCAGATCAAACCATCTACTCCTTTGGTAACCCGACCAACCCTTCAAAATCATATCCCATCGTAAACCCAACTCATAAGCATAAGTCAGAACTCATAACTCAGAAAAGTTCACGGAGAAAAGAAAAAGAAAAAAAAAATGCAAAAAATAGCTTGAAGCTCATAGTTAGTGAAGCCACTGACTAAACTGAGGTGCAAGCAGAAAAGCAAACAAGAAATTCACGGACGAACCGGTAACAGAGCTACAAGTGCGCGATTCCTGCCTCTCTCTCCAACAAGACAACGGCTCCTTCCACGTAGGCACCTCCGTCTGGAATTGTTCCTTAGTCCTCGCCAAATTCGCCGGGCGCTCGGCACCACCGGCGACTATAACCCTTACTCCGAACTCCTCGATTTCCACAGCCGCCGTCGCCGAGCCATCAAACTAGGAGCCGGCTGTGGAGCTGCCGGCATGGCCTTCCAACTGCTCGGTCTTCAAGACCTCATCTTCACCGACATACTACCATGTCCGCACTCAAACACAACCTCAAACGCAACAAACCCGTGCTGGCCAAGAACCTTAAGACATCAATTCTCTACTGGAATAATAAGGATCAGATCAGGGCCGTTAAAGCGCCGTTCGATGTGGTGATCGCGGCGGACGTGGTTTACATAGAGGAATCGGTGGGCCATTTAGTGGGGGCCATGGAAACGTTAGTTGTGGATGATGGAGTGGTTCCGTTAGGATACCAGTTGAGATCACCGGAAGCTGATAAGCTGTTTTAGACAATGTATGAAAAGGTTTTTGTGATCAAGAAGGTTCCTCATAAGGATTTGCATCCTGATTAAAGTCTTGTCTTTTGCACTCTTACTTGAACTTGTTATGCAATCAAGCCAATTCCTGTGCAAAAATCTTTGTTTGGTTTATGCGTTCGTCAAATGATGTTTTGAGTTTTCTGCTTTTTAGTCCTACATGAAGACAACCAATTGAGTAACAAGTTTAGGAGTATGTTGACTGAACATGGCAGGTTTAGAGGCTTGTGCTGATGTTGGGAAATAACCAGCAAGTTCATTCTCCAGGATTTTATGCTGTCACTTGCTAGAAAGGTTGATGGATGGAACTAGGTGATCAACCGATCACGGAAATCTCCATCTATGGCCAAAAAAGATTGGGGTCCATTTTCTGTGATAATATATGTGAGATTATGTACCGTAATGATGAAATTAAAATTATTAAAATTAATAGTGAGAATATATGTGTGAATATAAATATAATAGTAACTATGAGATTAGATGTTACAGTGGACTACTCTATCAAAAGCAATCGTTTGTCTTGACAAATGTCTTTATTTTCTTTTTTTATAGTAAGATAGTCGACTATCTTAGAGTTCAGTCCCCTCTAATCTCCGATGATAGGAGCACTGGTGCGAACTACTTAAGATGTTATTCTAGCACTAAATACAACATTTCTATGTCAAGTTCAACAGCAATTTTCTTTTTAATAATGATCGGGTTAACGGGTGGTACTACTCAACCAGTCTCTGTTCTGCCAGGAAGTACGGTTTATTATGCTTGAACTGAATGATCCTGCGCTTCAGCTGGTCAGCGAGGCATTGGACCTTTTTGGGCTTCCCCTTTAGTAACATTGCTACCATATGGTAAACTGTCCCTGTTTCAAGCCAAGTTTGAAGGTGAGGCGAAGCTTTCTGCATGAATCTTGTGACAGAATTGTAGATTACATTAATGGAAAAAGGTGTCACACTGACACGTTGAAGTTTCAACTCCTAGTCCCCTACCCTGACGTTGAAGTTTCAACTCCAGCAGCTTATTTAAACCTACTAATAAATAAGTACTAGTAATAAAAAATGAAAGTTAAAAAAATCAGAAAAAGATTTGGTATGCATATCTTTCTTTTTTTCAGCTTCTTCATTTACCAAGATTGACAAGTATTTTGGATTTTGGGAGGCATGCACGCATATATATATATATATATTATATATATAAACATAGAAGAACAGAATGTTTAGCACTTTAGAACCATAACTTTAACCAGTTATGAAATTAAACTTAAATAATTTCCATCTCTTATTAAACTATAACTATATATATATATATAATATCGCAAGTAGAAACCAGAATCCTCAATGTGCCACATCATTTACACCCTGCTGTCATTTTTTTTTGCTTCTCCGTCCGTCTGTTCACCCTAGGTGAAAATGACGTCGTACATGCTCCCTTCGTGTTTGTACATGCGTGCGCGCAGTAGAGGGATAGACAAAATATAAGATAACAATAATATACTTATGAACAATTCATGTAGGTTAAACGATCAATTTAAAATTAAATGTTTATCTGATTATTCAATTTAGTATTATATATTTTAATTTATATAAATAAGAATAAAACATTAACTTTATAACAATTTAAAATTTTTTAAACAAAAAAATTTGTGTGAAAAACACGCGCCATAATATAACGTCGGAGGCTTAATATTAGGTAGACTTGATTTTTTTTTTTTTTGCTGATTTGGCTATCTAGTTGGCGCAAAGAGTTTTTTACTTTCCTTTTTCTCCCACTCTTCTCTCTACCACAGCATTCTCTTTCTCTCACATCCACTCTCCCTTATTTTTCAAATCACATTTCTCTTAAAAAGTATCATATACGAATCCCAAACATATATGAGAGTGAAGTTGATGCTCTTATTGTAGATGAATGAATTAGTATCTAAAAGTAGTTTTGATTAAAAATTTTTTTTCTCGATAACATAGCAACTCTGCTACAAAACAATAAAAAATAGAGAAGAACAGAGACATAGAGCAAAAACAAAATCTGTCATTGTGTGAACGAAATATATGAATATAAAACTACTATCACTTTGATTCAAATCAATACCTTTTCATGCTTTTCATAAACGTAAGACTCCAGGACATTTTTCTTATCTGGTTTGCTCCATCTTCAAATCCTATTGCATCAACCAACATTCTTTCTCTTTAGCTTTAGCGAGCTCAGCCCTTTCCATTCCGCCATAGATACTCTTGTTAATTGAATTTTCCAACCCTTTTACAAGTCTTCATTTTCTTGCTACACTAGCCCGCACAAGGTAAAATGGGTTTCAGATTAGTGGAAAATATGGCAAAATAGTGAAGAATTTTCAGTAAAAAGCTACGAGTATTTGAAAAACTAAAAGATTGAAAGGCTATGGGTATTTGAAGAACTAGAACAAATGAAGAAATTTTGATAAAAAAATGGCGGAAAGTTATGGGTATTTTGAAATAGTAGAAGATTAGAAGCTAGTGCAGAGAGAGAAAGATGGTAGAGAGAAGATGAAGAAAGAATGAAACTAATATTAATTTTTTAATTTAAAATTTTTGACCTTTTACGAGCCAGCATTTTTTTATCAGATTTTTCACTTTTTTGTCATTTGTATTAAAAGAGTTAATGACGGGTACAGGTTAAAAATTTTTAAATTATTATAAATCGATAATATTTAATTTTTATTTATATAAATTAAAATATTTAATTTTGAATTAAACAATCACGTAAATATTTAATCTCAAATTGATCTTTCAACCATTCATATATGGTTGTACACAAGAGGCGGTTACCAACATAAGTTAGAGGGGGCCTTGGCCTCCAAAATTATAGAATCCTCCGAGTAATATTAGGTGTCTGTTAATAAAATTAATGAATCTATAAGCTCTTACTTTCAATGTGAATGTTTTATACTCGATTGACATACTTAAATCACATAAATGGTATTCAGTTAAATATTTTAAACTTCGAGTGGCATATACAAGGAGAAGACCAATAAATTAGGTCTCCTAGAGATTTTTATTGCACAGCTTAAACCTGACAGTTCATGAATATATATTATATAAAATATTAATTCATGCATTTGTATATTATTTTTCGTTAATTTAACAATTGATTTATTTATATTTTTATGTTTTAAATAGTTCACAATCTCAAGCAAAATTATTTATTTGATGTATTATATTTGTTTGTACATTTGCTTGTGAATTAATAAAATTTATAATTTTTTAAATTACTTTAAATATATTTCTTTCATGTATATATATTTATATTAATAATATAATAATATACATTTGAAAAAAATCTAATATAATATTAGTTAGCCCCTCAAAATCAAATGCCAAGATTCGTCACTAGTTGCAGACTGTTTATTCTCTTGATCAGCAAAACCATATACAAAGAGGTAGACTTGTTAATATATAAATGGAATTGAAAGTTTCAAAATACATTTTAAAGGGCAAAATAATATTATATATATGTATATTTATATATATACTCTTATTTGATTATTGCCACATTTTAAAGGACAAAGTGTTGAATATAAACCAAATAGACTGCTACTTGTGGTAAGTATATCACACTTTTGCACAGGTTCCAAATGTTAACTTCTCCAAGATTAAAATTTGATGAAGCATCTGACACATTTACACCTTGCTGGTTACACTATACAAAGCATCCATTAAAGGAGGAAGGGAAAAAAAAAAAGTGGTTACGGCCAAATCTTCATATTCTTCCATGATGAAGAATGTTTCTTTTGCTCTTCAACTAGCTGTAAAAACATTCTCTATTCTTCCCCACCTTTTTTCTTCTCCTAAAAACATAAGTATATATTAATTTATTGTTTCACCAATTAATGCTTTATTTGATTTAGCCTCCACGGTCACATATACACTATGTAGACTATATATCACCTTTTTTTTGTTTTTTCGCTCCCGTAGATCGATCTTGTTTTTGTCAAGGAATAAACGACCCATCGTGGACTGCAAAATGGGGAAGTAACTGGCTAGGGTTGGCTCTGCTTTGGCCACCTTGATCAAAGGAAATGAAAGGAGGATTATAGAACTCAACAAGCCCATTATTATTATTCTTAAGGTGATGAGAACCCTCATGTCCAATCTGCACCTTTAATTGCGAGGGCAGGGAGTCCTTAACTGAACCACATTGTCTAGGCTGTGTTTGGTAAAAAACTTTTGAAACAACTAGCTCACCATCTTTCTCTTCTTCATTGTTGCCAAGGTGGTACTGGTGCATCACCCAATTAGTTTTCTCGGGTTTCCTTTGCTTCCCATAGTTGGTGTAAAGCACCAAGATCTTCTTGTACCCCTTAACTTTTCCACTAATGAAAACTGGCCTGGTCTTGCCTGTTTTGTGCCACCGGGTCTCGCCGCCTTCTGTGTCAGTGTGAACCTTTCTTCTTTTTCTAGTCCCCGTCGTGTAAGCCTTGGAAGGTCGGTGAAAGAAATGGCGAACAAGGCCATCTTTGCTTACTCCTATACACAATGAAAATAAATATCATTATTAAATGACACATCATTGTTAGGATTTCTTGGAGTATTTCCCCAATATCGCAAGTGGGAAAGGCTGCTAGGGTTAGTTGGAAGGTTTTCGTCATTTCATTTTTATGGAGAATGCTACGCACAGAAGGTTAGTTGGCAGGTTTCTTCAAACAAGGAGAATGGTTAACCATTCCATCATATATAAAATGAATTCGAGAATGTTTCCGAGCTTTTCTTATTAATAGAAGATGAGAATAATATTCTTATAAAAGTGGTTTATACTTTTTATCTTTCTATTTACTTCTCATGGTGAAAACGCCAGATTTTGATGGTTTAATTTAGTTACTTTGGGGGCTGCGTTCACTTCCAAGTTCCAAAAAGGAGAAAAAAAGGAGTCTCAAAGATGATATAGCTAAGCCAAATTTAACTTTTAATATGAATCATTGAAGCTCAAACCTCAAAATGATGAGAGACTCTTCATAAAAATTATATTCATTGATCACAAAATAATTAGAGAAACTGACTGATGAGCATAAAGACTTCCATTTTTCTCTCTTTCTTCAAAACTTATGATTGCCAAGGCTGCAAAACCTAAGGACATAAACTTTGCTTCTTTTTTTTTTTTTCTTCGTTTCAGTTTGATTATCAGAAGTATATAGATGTTGGAGTAGAAATATATATTAATTAATTAAAATCCTTAAAAGGAATTATATATCACCTGGCAACTTCTCAGGATGAGTATAGCAAATTCCATTCTCTCCTTCTATAGTAGGGATAAATTCATCAATAAGAGGATGAAGCTTACGTGCATCAGACCGCACCTTCCCCTCCAAATGTTCAAGAAGCTCTTGATCTGTTGGATCAAACTTCACTCCGGCAGGTAATCCAGGCAAATCATGGATTCCACCCTATGACCAAACAATTTTTTATAGGTTTGCAAGTGCAACAAATAAAAGTAAACCACATATAACAATCATGAATTCATGATCAAAATCAAAGAAAATATATATGCATTCATAATACATTAATCAATGATAACAAGGAGATATTCAAATGGAAAGACCTGATCACGACATTTGATCTGATGACCGCAAGAAGGACATGTTCTAAGTAGGCAATCTTTGTGTCTTTGAGCGATAACAGCTTTATGAGAAGATGGAGGAGAGGTTCTTCTCTCAATAGTTTGCACATCACTGCAGTCATTGCACCAAGTCATTTCCTATGGTTTCCTCTTATCTTATTCCCATCCCACACTAAGGGAGTCCTTTATTTTCCTTTCTTGTTTCCTCCACTGCTACTCCAAAATAAACAATACTCTGAGAAGGAAGAGTGAAAAAGAGAAAGAGAGAGAGAGAACAAAAAAAAAAAAAGAAAAAGGAAGAAAAGTTAGGTTGTCTCCTCTAAAGCTTTGGTGCTCTGAAGCCTGTTTATCTGAGGGTTGGGAAGGGAATTAAATTCTTTGCATCCAACAATTCAAGTACTCTTTTAATCACTCAATAACTCTTAATTGTCCTTTATTACTCGAGCCTAGAAGAGAGCTACCTAAAAAATCTAAAGAGACTAACAAAATTCTCTTTTTTACTTGAGTATAGCTGTTAGTTGTAATCAAAGAACAAAAAAAAAAAAAAAAGGTAGGGGAAATTGAAAAAGGGTTTGCTTGGATCGTAAGTTTGGGTTTTGCTTATGTATCCGACATGTAGAAAACTTGTAGGACAATAAATGTAGTTTTTATGGTTTTTTTTTTAACCTCTGTCTAAAGGCTGCATTGATTTGTTAAAATAGCAAGTTAATGAAAGAAGGCTAAAATTGAAAAGAATATATATGAATAAAAGGATTGAGTGGAGATGGGGCAATCTGATGATTTGGTAGAGCTATTTCAGCACCAGAGAGAGAAAGAAAGAGAAAGATTTCAGGTCCAATGTCACCCTGGAGTATTCATAAAGCTATAAATTGTATACTACTGGAATATAAAAAAGATGAAAAGACAATAAGAAAAGGACTAATATCAATAGCCACCCACAATTCTATTTCTTCCCGTAGACTTCTCATGTAAAGCAAGAAACCTTTCCCTTCTCTCTCTTCTCCTAATTTTCACGTGGCAAAATCAGGGCGTGCCATTTAATTGGATATAAATCATGATATACAATTGCAAGTAACCTTTTATCTTTTTATGGGATATTATTTCTTCACAATTTGGTAAAGATATATAATGAAAATGTCATGACTGTTAATTTATTAAGAAAATTGCAGCCAACCCGTTCCTCTTCACCAAGTAACTAGAAAAAGGGAAATGAAAAGAAATTAACTTGGTGCAAATGCAGTAGAAAACCAAGGATATAATTGGATTCTCAATTCATTCAAAAATTGTATCAGACATGAAAACCGTCGAGAATCAATGGAAATTTTCTTTTCTTTCTTTTTAAATTGATAAAAAAATCATGGACTTGTACATTAATTCAAAAGTAAGATGCTAAGATTACAGTGTTGATGAATTGGGTTAATTTTGTTATGAAACATCATTTTCTGCATCTTCCAGGAAAAATGAAGGCAATGAAATTTTTTAAAAGAAAAAAAATCTCCCTGGGCTTTGTTTGCCCCGGCCTACAAGGTAATGTGGTATTGAATTGTGACTATAAGCATGTGGATGGTAATAAGTAATAATAATGTAAGTAAAGTTCCTTTTTATGAAAATTATAAATAGAGTTAATACTAAATATCATACTATCACTTAGATTATATTCAGATAAATCAAAATTGATATGCAAGAACTAAATTAAATTATTTAATTAATTAAAATAAAAAAAATTAACTTATGTAAGAATTAACTTAAACAAACTAGCAACCTAAAAACAGAAATTTAAATTACAAGAACAGAAAATTATCTTAAACAACAACTAATTAACTTAAAACAACAATTAAAGATGGAAACTTAAACATGCCAATAAAACCGAAATTAAAAAACAACCTAATCAATTAACATGAAAATATTAATGATTAAACTAAAACAGATACTTGAAACTAAATATAAGCTTGAACTGAATTAGATGAACTTTAAGAACAACAAATTAAATCTAATTTAACATACTTAGAACTTAAATAAAGCAAATAAAATTAAATTTTATTAAATAAAATTTAACTTATGCTGACTTAAACTTGAAGGGGGCATTTGATTCGAAGAAAAAGTCATATTACTTTTGGTAATATGATTATTCCCTTACAAGATTACTAGGCACCTTTTCAATAATCTTTTATTTTATCTATGGTTTAGTTGACCAATATGTAAGATTTCTATGTTTGATTGAGGGGAATGTAAAATTATTTAATGATATCTTTTAATAAATTATCCTTTAAATTAAAAAGAAAGTGATGGTATGTTCATAATCTAATTATCATAATCTAAATAATTATAATGTTACTAAACCATTATGTTAAAAATACATCCATACACCATAATTAATAATTAAGCAAAATATATATACTTGCAACTTATATTCATTAAAGCTCCATTTATAAGTAATAGGTAATTTCACTTCTAGATAAAAATCTATCGATATTAATGAAATTTTTGGTAATGTGAGATAATGCATTTAACAACAGTTATGGGAACTTTGATTTGATTTATGCTTGATATATTTTTTATAGGCAAAACTATTAAAGCCAAATTCACGGATTTTTTTAAATTTAAAATTTTATGTATTCTAAATACAAATTTTGACATTTCCTTTTTTTTTTTTTTGTTATAATAAAAAGGTTGACTTAACAATTCTTTCTATTTTATAATTATGTAAAAATCGTTTAAAATAATTTGTTGAAATTTTGAAACTTTGAGTTGTATGTAAGTATTAATATGATTTGCGTAAAAAAGGAAAAAATATATATTTTCAATTAATTGAGTTGTCAATTCATTTTCATTATGCCTGATATTAACATGACACTACTAAAGTTGACCAATTCATTTGGAAAGTAACCACAATTTGGAATTAATTTAATCTTTATTATGAACTTGAATTTGACTTTTAAATTTTAATTTGTATTAATAACTTTGCAGGCGTATCAAGTTAATTATTCCTGAGAGCAGTAAAAGTAAGTAAATTGAAAATGCAAAAGGAAAAAAAATTAAATTTCTTATTTGAAATAATTTTTTAAAATTTAAATTTAAATAAAATCAAGGGAAAAATAATTAATTACATCATACAGTAATTTTTCAAGAATGTCTACTTGTCAAAAATATAAATAAGCCGTATTAATTTTTTTTTCAAAAGTTTTGATTTTTATATATTTATATAATATACTTTTATAATATTTTAATTTATTTTATTATTTATTATTTTATATTAAATAATTATAAATTATTTAAAATAATAACAAATTTTGCTAAAACTAATAATAATGATTTTAAAAAAACGAATAGTCGACCCGAGGCCTATTTGTAGTTCTCAATTAAAAACAAGAAAGTTCATGGACAAAACTAACCTCATATAATAAAAAGATGTTTTAAAAATCCAGTCGGACCAATCCATCAGATCGATTACATTGAGAAATAATGTCCGGTCCAAAATAAATGATCGAGGATATCGAATAGATGAAGAACTTATCCATCGTCCAATTAAACTCAATTTTCATCAATTTATTATTTAATTAATTAAAAATATGTGCACGTGATCTTGACTTTTAATTAATACCGATTTCCCTTAAATTTCGATCTTCTTATATGAATTTTTTTTCATATTAAGATGAATTAAAATCTTTATTTTCAAATGGGGATAGTATTAATTTTTTTTTTTTTATAGAAAAGGTACTTCAAGCCTCATCAATTGTCTAAATGTTTATGTGACAAAAATATCACTTGAACATTTTTTTTTTCATTTTCCTTCTTTCTTTATTTTTTTACCATTAATCGTAGTCACCAACAGAAGGAATGAACGATCAATTTTGCCATGCTAAAAATTCAATTTTGCCTTTTTTAACTTTGCAAGCAATCGTCCATCTTCTATTTTGGTGATCATAATAGAGATTTTTGTTATAGCTCCCAGGTTAATTTTCATTGAGATATGCATTTGGGTCAATGGGATTTTAGTTTTCAGAGCTAGGGCAGGGACACCATCAGCCCCTCATCCATTCTCGTTTGTAGAAGTATCCAACTTGACTTCCTTAACTGCAAGAGCCATGACGACTAGATTAGATTATATAGAACCCTGCTTGGGTTCTATCTATAAAAATATATTTTCATTGGAAGCTCCATTTTTTATGTTTTTTATATTGCTCGATTTTCCTTTTTTTTAGAATTTTTTAAAAATGTGTATAGAAAATATTATGTAGTTTGGTCCTTTGATTTTTTATGCTGTGTGCTTGACTTCAGACACTCGTAAAAGAATAGTTTTTTCTAATTTTCCATGACATTTTTGCATCATCATCATCTTGCTCAATGTTCAGGGCCCAGGGCTAGGTGAGGATTAATGCAATCAAATCCGACTAATCAAAGCATCTTCCCACTTGTATTAGGCTAGCCACCACGATTTCTTTTTCTTCTTTCTCTCTACTGCTAATTATATCTCTTTCTGTCTGTACATTCTGATCCTATAAAGAATACTCAAGAAAAGAAACACAAGTTATCTTTTTTTGTTTGTGGGGTTTTTGTAGATTTATAAGGATTTTAAAGTTGTTTTCTTGTTTTATTTGGAGATTATAAAAGAAAGAGATCTCTTTTATAATTTTGTGTTTGATTGGTAAGTAATTAAAAAAGAGATGGACAAGAAAAGGATTGCGGTCCCACTTGTATGCCATGGCCTCTCACGCCCCGTCGTGGATCTCTTTTACAGTCTTACTACTCCAGATGGCTTTTTCCTCGTTAGTGCCAATAAAGATTCCAATTCCATGCTGAGGAATGGAGAAACTAGAGATTAGATAGGAACGTTTGAAGGACACAAGGTTGTGCTGTGGAGTATTTGCTTTGATACAAATGCAATACGTGTTGCTTCCAGTTCTGTTGACTTTACTACGAAAGTGTGGGATGCACTAACAGGTGATGAATTGCACTAATTTGAACACAAGCATATAGTTCGAGTTTGTGCTTTTTCAAAGGATACACACTTTCTATTGATTGGGGGAGTGGAGAAAGTCCTTCGTATTTATGATTTGAAACATTCAAATACACCTCCAAGAGAAGACAAATCTCTTGGTTTAGTCAAAACTATTGTGTGGATTCATAGTAATCGGACAATATTAAGACTACATGGAAAGAGTGGTAAAACAGTTTAATGACTAAAGACCAAGTCTTTGACGAATGATAAAGTGAGTCAAAATGTTCGATATATCACAACTGTAGATGGATCTACGGTTAAGTTCTGGGATGCAAACCACTTTGGTTGGTAAAGAGCTACAACATGCCTTGCACAATTGTATCAAACTCATTGGAACTGAAGTATGGAAATAAATTCATTGCTGGAGGAGAAGCTATATGGGTTATTTTCACATTGGCGATGAGATAAATGCAATAAGGTCACCATGATTGTCCTTACGTGTGTTTCTCACCAGAAGGGGAATTATATGCCTCAGGGTCTGAGGATGGAACCATTAGAATATAGTAGATAGACCCTCTACCTCATGATGACACTAAATCATTTGCAGCAAATGGGTCAGTTGGAAAGTTGAAGGCACCCTTGAAGAGCTTTCGTGCAAGATTCATTTGCAATAAATGGAATTTTAATAAAAAAAAAAAAAAGAAAAAGAAAAATTCAGATGACGTGGTAGCTTTTTCCTTGTAAG